ATTATTCGCATTTAAAGTTAAATAAGCTTGTCCCTCTTTTTTTATTTCACATTGATATCTGATTTATTTGCAACCCCAAAAACTACAGAATCGTACATACTATATAGCTCAATTTCGACTAATATGTAACACAGTAATAGCATTTCCGATCAAACGCAACATGCAACTTATTCGAGATATTAAATTATTAAATTACATCGTTTTCCTGTAGAAGTCGAAATTTAACTTCAGTCGGAGAAACTCGCTTTCCAAATCACGATATTTCCAGTCTGAAACAATTCTGTAACAACTTGGGATTTTCATGCATTTCTTGCTTCTAATGAACTTGAGATGCCACCTCGCACAAATTTACAAATTACATCCATGATCTTGCATACGTTTAAGTAAAACGAAAGAAAGAGGTGAAAAGAAGGAAAGAGAGCAGCTTTGAATTGATTCTCGAGCAAACGCGTTCGAATGGCGAGTCGGTGTTGTTCAGCGATGACGGGAGGGTTGGAGGGATGAAATTCGCGAAAAAAGGGTGTGGAGATGTGATGCAGAGACGCTGCAGCGTATTTATGGCGGCGAATATGAATCGAGGCTCTCATTGTTTCCGTTCGTTACGGTTGCAGATGCGAGCTTATGCAAAGTAGCGGACCGTGCTGTGCGCAGAACGTGCCGCTTTCATGGAATCAACTTCTCTCAGCAGGACACGAGGTGCAGAAAAAAGGTAGACGTTTTAATAGAAGTCAACTTAATGGAACGTCTCCTTTATGAATTTCTACAAAGCATTCGTACGCTGCTCTGTTTTGTCCTCCTCGAATAGAAAACGGACGAATTCCCTAATTACAGAAATGAATATCGGTATAATATCCGCGAAGAAGGATATATTCTGAGATAATTACTCATTGTCAGCCGTAATTTATGCGATTGATTAAAACTTCTATTGTCGTTTAGTCGTTAAATACACGAGGTTCACGGGCGAGATAAATTTCCAATTTATATGTAACGAGATCTTGTCACTTTCAAAAAGCGAGAAATATTTTTAGAAAAATATATCCACCTCACTTTGAACGCGTTTTCAGAATAAAGCCGGAGCACTTTGTAATTTTTAATTTATACGTCACAAGATTCGGCTCTTCGCTTTATTATACCATTTACAACGTGTTTCTAAACTGGAAAAGCAGTTTATCTGTGAAATTTCTTTAATTAATTCAAATATTTAAAAATTTCAGAGAATTGTTTATCTTAATCAATTTGTCAATTAAAATTGCACCATTCATAGAATATTGGCAATGTTTCTTATACTTGTTTAAACGAAACGTATAGAAATGAATCGAAAACGTGAAGTCCAGAAAATATTCAAAATCCTTCCGTTTCTAATAAATCTACAAATTAAATTTCTTCTCCGCGCCATTTGAAGGTTACCCTACGACTTCACAGTATTTTTTTTTTTTTTTTTCTTCACAGGAAACTCTCGAGTCCTTCAGTTTCCTCATCTCTCGAGCGAGAAGCTTTCGTAGTTGATTACTCTCTCGTGACGATTTTCAAAGCGCTTCCGAAGCTTCGAAGACTAAGAATTGGCCAAAGGATCGGACAATGTGAGAAAATGCCGCTGCTCGTGGAAATCGAACGCGTTCTCCAAAGGGGCACGTGTCCCTTTTTTGCTCCATAGGGAATTCTTCTTTGCCCGTAAACCGTAATCGGGGAAGCACAGGCAACACCTGGTGCAGTTTATTATCGAGTTCCCCGAGTTTCTCAGGAACAGTTGTTCAGCTTGCCAACGCTTGCGGTCGAATTCTCAAGTCACGAGTCAACATTGATCTACCTAACCTTCTCTTCGAACTGGTCAACAAGATTCTCGGTTTTCCACGCAATTATCCTCTTCTAGGAGATTTGCGTTCCATTTGGATCGGCATCACGTTGTTGCGGATATTTGGAATGAAAGTGAGATTTCAGTTGTTCGTGATTTGTAAATATTTCTTTATGAATACATTGAATGCGTGAAGCATTTTGAAATTCCATTAATCCTACTGTTCTTTTCACTTCGACTTTTATGTTGGCATTTCCTTTCTTTCGAATGTTCCAATTCATAAGAATTCATATTTTATTTATATTTTATAATATAAATATATATATATATATATATAT